GGTAAAACAACATGTACCAGACAGTGTAGGTATACAAACACACTCAGACAGTGTATACAAACATGCAATTAGACAGTGAAAGGCAACAATGTAACGTATAGGTATACAAACAATGCAATTTGTGACAGTGTAGGTAAACAAACAATGTACCCAGACAGTAGGTATACAAACAATGTACCCAGACAGTGTAGGAAACAAACAACACAGTGTAGGTATATGCAATGTACCCAGACAGTGTAGGTATACAAACATGTAAAACACAGTGTAGGTATACAAACAAATGACAGTGTAAACAAACATGTACCAGACAGTGTAGGTATAAAGTACCTAGACAAGTGTAGGTATACAAACAATGTACCTAGACAGTGGGGAAATAAACACTGCAACAGACAGGTATACAAACAATGTACCCAGATGGTATACAACAATGACTGCACAGAAAAAAACAATGCACCCAGACAGTGAAAGCACCCAGACAGTAAACAAAAACAATGTACAGGACACAAACAATGTACCTAGAGTAGGTATACAAACAATGTACTAGACAGTGTAGGTAACAAACAATGAAGACAGTGTAGGTATACAAACAATGTACCTAGACAGTGTAGGTATACATGTACCTAGACAGTGTAGGTATACAAACAATGTACCTAGACAGTGTAGGTATACAAACAATGTACCTAGACAGTGTAGGTATACAAACAATGTACCTAGACAGTGTAGGTATACAAACAATGTACCTACAGTGTAGGTATACAAACAATGTACCTAGACAGTGTAGGTATACAAACAATGTACCTAACCTAACCCAGACAATAGACTTAACTCCAACTCCAGACTTAACCTAAACCAAGACTTAACCTAAACCAAGACTTAACCTAACCTAAACCAAGACTTAACCTAACCTAGACTTAACCTAACCTAACCTAACCTAATGACACCTGACACAAAAAATTAAAAATAATAACTTCAAATAACCTAAAACATTAACCTGTTTCAATAATAGTATATTCCTTAAGTTAAACTCTCTATTAAGATACGGTTAAATTAAGTAGTTGAGCCTTAATTAAATAGTTAATATTAGTTAATTAGTTATTTAACATGACTTAGAGAGTTTATAGAGGCTAAGATATGTTAAATAGGAAATAATTAATAATCTCTATCTATTAAGGTAACCTAAATTTAACTTATATTCTATGTTAAATTCTGTTAATATTTAGTTAATTAGTTATTTAACATAACTTAGAGAGTTTATAGAGGCTAAGATATGTTAAATAGGAAATAATTAATAATCTCTATAATGGTAACCTAAATTTAACTTATATTCTATGTTAAATTCTGGTTAATTATCATCAATATCGTCTATTTAACTTAATTTATCAAATATTAAATAAGAAATAGGAATTATATATTAAATACAGATTAAATATAAAATCACTTTGTTCAATCTCTTGTTAACATTATATAGTTAATATTACAATAAGGTTAATGTTAACTAATTAATAACACTCAAATAAACTTACCAAGTGTGAAAATGTTGAGGAATAACCGATAATAACGACGTTTAGGAGAAATAACTAGAAAATAACGAAATGGTCATAGTCTCCAAGCCACTAACTTTTGTCCCACGTAAATCCAAAACCCACTTATTTTGTCTCTTTTCTCAAGTTCTACGTCTCTTATTTGTGGTGATTAGTTGCATTCTTGGTTGTAGTTTGATTTGAGGGGGTTCAATAGTTGGTAATGGTTGTCATAGTGGGATAAATGGAGGTATTTTACGAGTATTTTACAGAGACACAAGGTAAGCGTCCATGTTGATTTTCACCATAACACCGCACGGGGGCTACATCACGGTCTCCATATTGTTATTACTCTTATTAAACCTTTAATCTTTATTTTAATATTATAATTAATATTAGTTAATTATTATAAATGGTATATAATTATATTTAAATGTATAAATCTACGTTTAGGTATTTTTTTATATAGTATAGGGTCCCTTATTACTGTTTCTACACTGTTATTACGCTTATTATGCTATTAATCTCTAAGTTAATATTATATTTATTTTAATTATTTAATATAAGCGTAAAATATTAATTAATAATGGTATATATATTCATTTTTGTTGTTCCTATTTGGTTTATATACCACAGGCTCCCTCACACACAGCCATACTCAAATATTACCTTCATTTCTCCCTTTATTCTTATGTTAATACAATTTATAGTAGTATTTAATTTATTTTAATATAATTTAATAATATTTAACGGTATACAGACGTGTTTAGGTGTTTCTTTTGTAATAATATATTTCACACCACAGGCTCCCTTCTCCCGCCATATTTAAATATATAAGTTGATATAACCTTCTATATTTACCTTAATTTAACGTTTAATAATATTTGATTAATATACAAATTATTGAATAGCTCATTAGCAGCTTGGACGGTCGGTTGATTCTCTGTTACACACTGTTGGTAAGTACTGGGCATGTACTGGTTCTCTGTTACACACTGTTGGCAAGTACTGGGCATGTACTGGTTCTCTGTTACACACTGTTGGTAAGTACTGGGCATGTACTGGCTCTCTGTTACACACTGTTGTAAGTACTGGGCATACTGGTCTCTGTTACACAGTTGCAAGTACTGGCATGTACTGGCTCTCTGTTACACACTGTTGGTAAGTACTGGCATGTACTGGTTCTCTGTTACACACTGTTGGTAAGTACTGGGCATGTACTGGTTCTCTGTTACACACTGTTGGCAAGTACTGGGCATGTACTGGTTCTCTGTTACACACTGTTGGTAAGTACTGGGCATGTACTGGCTCTCTGTTACACACTGTTGGTAAGTACTGGGCATGTACTGGCTCTCTGTTACACACTGTTGGCAAGTACTGGGCATGTACTGCTTCTCTGTTACACACTGTTGGTAAGTACTGGGCATGTACTGGCTCTCTGTTACACACTGTTGGTAAGTACATGTACTGCTTCTCTGTTACACACTGTTGGCAAGTACTGGGCATGTACTGGCTCTCTGTTACACACTGTTGGTAAGTACTGGGCATGTACTGGCTCTCTGTTACACACTGTTGGTAAGTACTGGGCATGTACTGGCTCTCTGTTACACACTGTTGGCAAGTACTGGGCATGTACTGGTTCTCTGTTACACACTGTTGGCAAGTACTGGGCATGTACTGGCTCTCTGTTACACACTGTTGGTAAGTACTGGCAGTACTGGCTCTCTGTTACACTGTACTGGCTCTGTTACACACTGTTGGTACTGCTCTCTGTTACACACTTGGCAAGTACTGGCATGTACTGGCTCTCTCTGTTACACACTGCTGGTGTAAGTACTGGGCATGTACTGGTTCTCTGTTACACACTGTTGGTAAGTACTGGGCATGTACTGGTTCTCTGTTACACACTGTTGGCAAGTACTGGGCATGTACTGGCTCTCTGTTACACACTGTTGGCAAGTACTGGGCATGTACTGGCTCTCTGTTACACACTGTTGGCAAGTACTGGGCATGTACTGGTTCTCTGTTACACACTGTTGGCAAGTACTGGGCATGTACTGGCTCTCTGTTACACACTGTTGGTAAGTACTGGGCATGTACTGGCTCTCTGTTACACACTGTTGGCAAGTACTGGGCATGTACTGGCTCTCTGTTACACACTGTTGGTAAGTACTGGGCATGTACTGGCTCTCTGTTACACACTGTTGGTAAGTACTGGGCATGTACTGGCTCTCTGTTACACACTGTTGGCAAGTACTGGGCATGTACTGGCTCTGTTACACACTGTTGGCAAGTACTGGGCATGTACTGGTTCTCTGTTACACACTGTTGGTAAGTACTGGGCATGTACTGGCTCTCTGTTACACACTGTTGGCAAGTACTGGGCATGTACTGGTTCTCTGTTACACACTGTTGGTAAGTACTGGGCATGTACTGGTTCTCTGTTACACACTGTTGGTAAGTACTGGGCATGTACTGGCTCTGTTACACACTGTTGGCAAGTACTGGTCATGTACTGGCTCCACATGTACCTGAACCTGCTCCAGTGTTGGTCAAGTCTGGTCTTGAAACAGCTCACACTCAGTGCCGTCACAACACTCTCTGGTAGATTGTTCCAACAGTTCACAACTCTCACTCCTAAAAAGTTACCCCTCACAGTTTTCTAGACCTGTGGTTTCGTCAATCTTGAGCTGTGACCCCTTGTGGTGTGAGCGTCTGTCAGCTCCAGGTAAGGACACTCGCCTGAGTAGTGCCCCCTGAGATGCTTATACACCTCAACTAGGTCCCCCCTTGCCCGTCTGTAGTATAAGCTAGGCAAGTTCAGGCGCTGCAATCTCTCAGGGTAGTTGAGGTGCCGGCCCCAGTCTGGTGGCCCTCCTTTGAACATTTTCAACCAACTGACAGTCCCTAGCACATCTCGGGGTCCAGACGGGGTGACAGTACTCCAGATGGGGAAGCACTTCACTCTTGAAGATCGTTACGAGGGAAGGACCATCTAGATATCTGAACGAGCTCATAAGACCTAATAATTTAGTTGCTTGATTCGCCTTTTTCTTACAACGGCCCGAGAACTTCAATTCATTGTTGACATATACACGTTACTTTACTTCACTTTACTTCACTTTACTTCACTTTACTTCACTTCACTTCACTTCACTTCACTTCACTTTACTTTAAATAATAATACTCCCTTGGTTAAAAATAATAGAAAACGGACCAAAAAATTTAACTTTAATGGGTTACTAAACCATTTGATCGTATTTGTAGACTTTTATTTGTGAATGACTCAAAGGTTGTTTTCTCATACAAAGTGGAAACTGTATACTATAAAACTAACTTAATAGCATAATTATAAGGTTATTGAGATTTTAGGAACATTATGAAGTTAATTAAGCGGAAAAACAAAAGAAACTTAGATATACTTTTAATATTACAAAGCAACATGGCTACATTAATCTATTTTTAACCTCAGTCCTGTTGCCAATTTCGTGTCTGGTGAGTCCCTCTTGTCTTCTCTTGTAAATATTACCAATTAATATAACTATCAAGCTTAAATTCTAAGTTTGCGTGTATTTATGGCGGAGTACAAGACTTTAAGAAGATATTGACTTGTACTCTATGCTGTGACAGTGTCGTAAGTCCTTGTCAAGTCACAAGTTCAGGTTTATTCACAATGGCCAAAAATATACAATGATTAAGTAATATAAAATTTATATCTATATTTCAACACATTAAATGGAAGCATACATACATACATCTCTTCAATATAAATTAATTAGAAGTGTATTTCCTCATCTCTATTGAACGGATTAAATGGAGATGAAAGTCAGTTATATCGACAGTTAGTTAGTTAGCTAGTTAGTTAGTTAGCTAGTTAGTTAGTTAGTTAGTTAGTTAGTTAGTTAGTTAGTTAGTTATATATTACTCAGTAAACTACACTTTCAGGTGACGCTCGTCGATAGGTTTTGTTTCCAAGATGGCGTCGCGCTCCATGGATGATGACATCAGAAATGAATGTTGTCTTCGTCTGGCGTCCCTGGGTGGTCGCCAGCACTGCCCTAAAGACCAGTTATACCTCGGAAAGCTTCTTGTTACCGACCCTGGCATGTGAGTTACCCCTACCGAGTCAATCATAGAAAACGGATGATCCACGAACCCCGAGATTCAGACCAGGGACGGGGTTCAGGGGTTCGGGGGTTCAGGGGTTCGGGGGTTCGGGGATTCGGACCCTCCCTTTGATCAGAAAATTCCAATACTTTTTCTTTAATGCAGTATTGTATTCAGGTGTTTGACCTCAAAATGCCCATAATATTGGTCAGAATTAAAAAAAAAAAAGAAGCTAACTGGGTCTTGAAGGGAAGTTGTTTAATAATACGTCCGTAAATCTCGGGGTTCGTGGTTCACATAATTATAATACTAATAAAAGTACAGTATATTATGTACAGTACCTAGACACTGTAGGTATTATGGCCACTGATAGAGAACTGTAATACCATTGGTCGAGAGAACAGATATATATGTTCTGATTGGCTGAGTTCAGGTTATTACACTGGTGCCACATCTTCACTTAACTAATAAAATTTTTGCATATATTTAATTATTAATTATTAAATCCTCATATATTTATACTCAGTTATATAGGTTAAATATAATTATGTTAATTTACTTATTTATTGAGTATTAATGTTTGTAACGGAATAAAATAGAATGGATACATTTGGCACCATTGAGAGAGAGAAAGAGATAACGGGAGTGAGAGAGAGAGAGAGAGAGAGAGAGAGAGAGAGAGAGAGATAATCACATTCTCTTTCTTACAGTGAGGTGGGAGACGGACGCAGAATAGAGCTAACTTCCTTGCTCACATTGGCTAGGGTTGATGGGGTGACTGCCCGTTCCTGGCTAGTTTTGGGAGAGTCAGGGGAAATCTGGTCCGCGCTATCTTCGTTGCAGGCGGAAACCACGGAAGGTCGGTGAATATAGTGGATAGGTAAATAGATATATATAGATACGTAGATATAATAGTGTGTTAGTTGAATAAGATTATATACTCGTAGATGGATATACTGTATTATGTGTGTGTGTATATGACGTATATATAGAAATACATACACATATTCATACCACAAAGGAGAGAGAGAGAGAGACAGATTAAATATATATCTCTCTCTCTCAGGCTGTGTTGCTCTTGGACGCATACGAGATCAGTGAAGAAAATTGCTGGGACGTCATCAAGCGTCACCTAGAAGAGACTGTGACAACTTGGGGCGCTGTAGAAATCTCAGAATGGTTCGAAGACGCAAAGGTCCTCCTTATTATTGATGATTTTGTCTTTAAGAATATAAGCCAAGAGATTGAGGAAGCTTTAGAAGAATGGCCTAAGGCTTCATTTTTAACCCTCACTACGCCAAATGAGGCTTCAGTTACCAGAGAGCTTTTTTCGAGGTTTCTGCCCACAGTTAGTGTTAGCCTAGTGGGGTTTGAACAACTTGATGTTATGGCGCGAGCTAGTTTGTATTTAAATGACGAAGAGCTTGAAGGATTTGACTGTTGGTGTAAGTAACTGGTGTATAGCTGGAGAAGTTCTATCTTATTGTAAACTAGTTGAACTGGCCTGTCAAGCGTGGAAACTAGGGTTCATTACCGATTATGTTGTCACCACCACTCAGTTTATTTGGGCGCTTACTGAGGTGAAGATTTCTGAGAGCCGCTTAGGTGCTACTGTACTAGGACAATGGCTCCTAGTACTGGGGAAACTTACTAGGAGGAGCTTGGAGACGCGGAGACTAATGCACAAGGAAGAACTACAAGCAGAAGCAAGAAAACTGTTTCCCGATGGTGGCGCAGATGTGGTAGCGTCTTTCCTCCGTATATCAACATCATCAGCGTGTTTATCTAACCTTTCCTTCCCTCATCCTCTGACACAGTTCCTGGCAGCTTGGGACGTTATCCACCAAAATCTTCACGGTTCACCTCTGAAATCTCTGGTGAAAAGGTTAGATGATGAAGATAGTGTTGTGATCTATGCGGCTGGTCACCTCTCCCGGATACTACTACACCAGCCAAATCTCCGGAAAAAAAGTGATGCGCGCAGCTAAAAATTTGATTCTCCATATGGATAGGGCCAAGGATCGCTTCGGATATACTCTGAGGGTTATTAATGAAATCAGAATCCACCCGAGAGTCGTTCAGATTATGGAGGATGAGGTTGAATTTCAGAAGATATGGGAAGTATATGATAAGGCTGTGTTGGTTGAACCTCTTAAGGCTTATCAGCACACTACCCCGGATAAGATTCAAGTCTCAGTGGATAGGAATCACTTGGCACCTGATTTACCTGGAGTAGTATCTCTGTTGGCTAAAACAGCTATTCCTTTATACCTAGCTGAGATGAATCACCTACAGTGGGGTTCTCAATACACGTCAGATAACTTAGTTAATATTATTCAGAAGGGCAGCGCCAAGCTTGAGGATTTCATTGGGTGTTTGAATGCCTCGACTTTAAAAAGCTTGGAAGTTTGAGACTACGAGGAATATAGTATGTTTGAGGGTAAGGGTTAAGGATATGGCATCAGTTCAAGCTGTGCTCAGTTGCCCCTATGACCTCACCTCACTTATGTGGCTGGAAGTGGATTTTGACCTTCCTATACGCGACCTGGACAAAACAGCCCAGCCAGGTCCAAACTCCACTTATGGATGTGAGCCTCAAGGACGTGTGTGACCAGGACGTTCCCAGGTTGTGTGAGTTTCTGGCACATATCAGAAACAGATATTCGGGGGTACACGCCACACAGTCTTCCCTCACACCCCCAGGAGCGACAGATATCCTGAAGCAGTTTTATAGACGAGGTATGTATATGACGGCAGATCCTCAAGTGATTAAAAGATATCGACGCTGGAGGTTTCCATCACTATCGGCTATCCCACCGACGGAGGAACTCACAGATAAAAAGGTCCATCATCTTCTTGGCTACGATGACCGCCACCACTACAGCGATAACGAAGTCCGCTCCAACGCCGTCACTACCCGCGTTGATGCCTACGCTCTGGCCAATTTCTTCGTCGCCATGGAAGATCTTGTTTTTTCCTTCTGCTCAAATTTTAGCGTGGTGAAGGAAACAGATGGATCCACTGAGGTAAAAGCTTATATAACAAGTGTCGGCAATTTCATCAAAAAGTGAATTTCCTTCCAGTAAAATTATTAACGGGAACAGTCAATTGGGAGGAGCATTTCACTTATAATTACAATATAGTGTATTATTAGTCCCCTGATACTTGATTCCCAATGTTTGTGCTGCAATTCCCTTTTTCTATGTATATATCCCTGCAAAGTTTCATACTTTCATTAAATTTTGAGTAATTCTTGCTGGATCATAATATTCTTATTATAATAATTATATTAATGTTTATCAATATTAATTCATTGATTTACAATATTTATAAGTGATAATTTAAGTTAAACCAAGAGGAACGTAGAGCATACCTCCTTTGTTCCATTCCTGACAACCGAGCGGAGTGTTTAAGAGGGAACTCTGCAAGTCTTGTGCCTTATTATTGTCGTATTTCTGAGTAATTATGAATTATTTACTTGGGTATTTGTAAATAAGTTATAAATCAGAATAATAATCAAGATACAGTGCCGTCGATGTCTCCTCAAGCCACACATCAACACGGCGATCACCTCCACATGTAGTTAAGTAAATTTATAAAATATACCCAGTATTATTAAAGGCCTCTAATAGAATATTCTACTTAACTACTTAACAAATATTTAATAACAATTCACTACAATAACATCATGTAAGTGTATATGAATCTGATTTTATAGCATTAATTATAAACCAGTGTTAGGTGACATTGTAATTGGATGAAGTTGAACGACTCGGATATCTTATTTCTTTTGTGTCTAGTGATTAAGTAACAGTAATTAATAGTTAATGGCAATATTCTTGAGTATGATGATTTAACCCCTTGAGTATGATGATTTAACCCCTTGAGTATGATGATTTAACCCCTTGAGTATGATGATTTAGCCCCTTGAGTATGATTATTTGACCTTGAGTATGATGTTTAACCCTTGAGTATGATGATTTAACCCTTGAGTATGATGATTTAGCCTTGAGTATGATGATTTAGCCTTAGTATGATGATTTAACCCCTTGAGTATGATGTTTAACCCTTGAGTATGATGATTTAACCCTTAGTATGATGATTTAACCCCTTAGTATGATGATTTAACCCCTTGAGTATGATGATTGAATCCTTGAGTATGATGATTTAACCCTTAGTATGATGATTTAACTTGAGTATGATGATTTAACCCTTAGTATGATGATTTAACCCTTGGTATGATGATTTAACCCTTGAGTATGATGATTTAACCCCTTGAGTATGATGATTTAACCCTTGAGTATGATGATTGAACACCTTGAGTATGATGATTTAACCCCTTGAGTATGATGATTGAATCCTTTAAGTATGATGATTTAACCCTTGAGTATGATGATTTAACCCTTGAGTATGATGATTGAACCCTTGAGTATGATGATTTAACCCTTGGTATGATGAATTAACCCTTGAGTATGATGATTTAACCCCTTGAGTATGATGATTTAACCTTGAGAATGATGATTTAACCCTTGAGAATGATGACTTAACCTCTTGAGTATGATGATTTACTCCGAGTATGATGATTTAACCCCTTGAGTATGATGATTTAACCCCTTGAGTATGATGATTTAACCCCTTGAGTATGATGACTTAACCCCTTGAGTATGATGACTTAACCTCTTGAGTACCTTTACACACACATGTATGTACAAACATTAAAAAACGTACACAGTACATTATTACAATCAATACTTATACACACATACTAATACATATATATGCACACAGACACACAGACACACATACACACTAACAAAAACACGTTCATACACACAGACACACACACACACACTAACAAAAATACGTTAGTTAATAAGGTAGTTTGTTAGTTAATAAGGTAGTTTGTTAGTTAATATGGTAGTTTGTTAGTTAATAAGGTAGTTTGTTAGTTAATATGGTAGTTTGTTAGTTAATAAGGTAGTTTGTTAGTTAATATGGTAGTTTGTTAGTTAATATGGTAGTTTGTTAGTTAATAAGGTGGTTGTTAGTTAATATGGTATGTTAGTTAATAAGTGTTTGTTAGTTAATATGGTAGTTTGTTAGTTAATATGGTGGTTTGTTAGTTAATAAGGTAGTTTGTTAGTTAATATGGTGGTTTGTTAGTTAATAAGGTAGTTTGTTAGTTAATATGGTAGTTTGTTAGTTAATATGGTAGTTTTTTAGTTAATAGGTAGTTTGTTGGTTAATATGTTGGTTGTTAGTTAATAAGGTAGTTTGTTAGTTAATATGGTGGTTTGTTAGTTAATGGTAGTTTGTTGGTTAATAAGGTAGTTTGTTAGTTAATGGTAGTTTGTTAGTTAATATGGTAGTTTGTTGGTTAATAAGGTAGTTTGTTAGTTAATAAAGTAGTTTGTTAGTTAATAAGGTAGTTTGTTAGTTAATATGGTAGTTTGTTAGTTAATATGGTAGTTTGTTGGTTAATAAGGTTGGTTGTTGGTTAATAAGGTAGTTTGTTAGTTAATAGGTGGTTGTTTGGTTAATAAGGTAGTTTGTTGGTTAATAAGGTAGTTTGTTAGTTAATATGGTAGTTTGTTAGTTAATAAGGTAGTTTGTTGGTTAATAGGTAGTTTGTTAGTTAATAAGGTGGTTTGTTAGTTAATAAGGTAGTTTGTTAGTTAATAAGGTAGTTTGTTAGTTAATATGGTAGTTTGTTAGTTAATAAGGTAGTTTGTTGGATTAATAAGGTAGTTTGTTAGTTAATAATGGTAGTTTGTTAGTTAATAGGGTAGTTTGTTAGTTAATATGGT